TTTTCCAATATGAAATTTGGGAAACTGTGTGGGAATCATGGTTTAGAACCATATTGCTTTGGATACCCTAAACCAAAAATTTAGCAGAACACTGTCAGATTTTCCTTACATATCACAGTCTTAGAGAATTCCATTAGCATTTACCAGGTGGCAGAGCATAATGAAACCAGTGCACAAGCTTTAAGGGAAGAAAATAAAATACCAAATGAAGTAAAGCCGAAAAATCTGAGATTCATAAGAATATTTGGAGACAGAAGAGTCCCAATGTCTTGCAAGAACCGGTATTGAAGATGAGAGAGCAAAAAGAAATCTGTGCACTGTTGGACTGGGGTGATTTTTTACTAGTAACTGTTCAGTTAGAGGCTGGAGGCTTTCTTACCCAATGCCTGGGTTATAATTTTGTAACCAGGATCCCTGACCACATGTAGATGTGATACCTAAATTTGCAGCAAGGGATTTCAGACAAACCAGAAATGCTGTGGCTGGCTGGCTAATTTCTGTAGCAAAAATACATAAGCGTTATGAAGAGGTGGTGTTTATAATTATATCCAAACCAAGGGTAAACATAAGGGGTGGCATTCAGCTGGTTTGCACTGTAAACCTCTCCACAGGAGCTCATCACCAGTCTGTCCTTACAGTTAAAGGGAAGAAATATCTTCTCCAAGTGCTCCTGACCAGCTTGAGATATTTGGTTTAAATCAACCTGAGCTGTACACTAGAAGCACACATTCCTCTCTCTTAACTAAACCTCACTGAGGCTTAACATTTTGTCCCACAGAACAAAAATTTGTCAAAATTATACCAAATACAAATGTAGTTTGGCCTGCCTATGGCAGATCCATTGCTAAAAACAATTTCATAGGGAAGCTGTTTTGGAATAGATCACAGACAAATTACTACAGGATTGCTTCTACCATTTTGAAGGAAGGGATGGTGAACAGAAATGTGATGAGCAGATGTAGATATAAAACACATAAAGGTTCTCAGCTAGATCTGTGTTCTATTGGCTTTCAAATGAAAACAGATATAGATGAAAAACTGAAAGAATGGGGAATAGCAAAATAAGTAAAAATTTACCAAACAAAACAGTTCTGTGATGTTCATGCAAGAAACATTAGATTCATGATCATGCATAGTTGTAAATTACTTCTTCTTTTCTGGGAAAGAATTTTTTTTTAATACTCTTTTTAACACAACAAAATAGTGCAGATCAGTTAGAAAATAGGACTATTAAATATGTAATTTCTAAAACTAAGAAAATATATTGACCTGAATAATATGTTATTTGTGACAGTAACAAAAAAGCACTGCCATTTGGTGGTCTGGAAATTATGCATACAGCAAATTAAAGAGATTTTTAAGGCATAATGCTTCAAATAGGACCCATATAATATGCTGTGAAAAATTATGTAAAATAATGGCAAGGATGATTCTAAAAAAGCTGAAGAGCACAGTCAGATCCTCATTTGGCATAGGTGATATACATTCTTGAAGTCTGGACTGCCACCTGCTGAAACACAGTTTAATAGGAAGCTTTGACTTTATAGGATTGAGTTTTCATTTTAAAACTTGATTTTTCACCCTATTTCTTTCTTCCAACCCTTAGTGCTCTATATCCCATGAATCATTATAACTGTGAGTAAATCTCACATTTTCTCCCCTTCTGTCCCTTGATTCCCCAGGTCAGTGGCAGTCTTCCTCCTGCTCATCCTCTGTGATTTCAGCAGTTTCTTACCCTGTGATTGTCCTGTTACAATTTTAGACCCAGACTCAACCGCTCAGCCCACACTGCTGCCTCTACAAAATGAAATTAGGCAGTGCAGACTCAGGCATTGTCCTGTTGCCAATTCTCTTTATGTTTGCATGGCCACCACATGGGCATAGGTGTGCCCAAAATAGGGGCAGTAGCAGCAAGGGGAAGATGAACCTTTTTATCACTGCTGAGCAAGGGGGACTGATGAAAGAAGGGTGGAATCTTAGTGACATCTTCCATAGAAAGAGGACACAGGAAGACTTGCAGGCTTCAAAACCATCAAGATCCAGACCAGAAGAGGCTGAACTGCACAGCATCAGTGCAGATTAAAGTTGATGGCATGCTCTGAGTTGCAGTGATAATTATTGCAGAGGCTGAGGAGGACTGCTGAGATGTGAGCTCATTAACTTGTGGGTGTTTGCAGCTGGTGTTTACCCTTCAGCAGTGGTGCAGCAGGAGGAAAGCAGACCCTTCCAAGATGGGTTATGGGCACTACCATGGGCTTTTCATCCCTTCTTACCCCAAGTCCTGCAGGAAGGAGCCCGGGGTGAGGCTCTGAGGGCTCCGTGGGTTTGGGGCCTGCAGCTCCCCCTCAGCAATGGTGCCTCTGAGGGGCTTCATGCCCTTCTTGAAATGGGGGGTTCAGGCCACAATCTCTTCTCAGATTTGCCCTCAAGATTACTCACAACGACTTGTGGTCTTCTTGCAATCCTCTCACCCTACTTTTAGTGGGTGTTTTGTCCTGCATGGCCTCTTGTCCTCACGGGTGGGCTCTCACTGGAGCTGGGACTTGCCGTGTGCTTGGTGCCACACAGAGGAACTGAACAGGCAGCACCCCCAACAGCACTGAGCAGCTGTCCCTTGGTGTCAACATCTGGGATTTTTATTGTCCAAACTCTTTTACCACTGTAAGACCCCTTTCCTTGTATCAAATACATAGCTGCGACCACCTGAGCATCTTCGAACTGCTTTGAGCCTGTTCCAAGACGAGGGAGCTGCAGCCCCTCGCTCTGTGGAGCACCGGTACCCTCTAGTGGTAAAATTGCAGGCATTTTTATGCAAAAAAAGATGATTTCACTACTAAGTTATCTTCTGTCTTCCTTTTGGACAAAACTCTGTACATCATCTTTAATTGACAGCGATGTTTTTTTTTAATGACATTGTAATTTCATGCCTTTAGTTTAAGTACCTATGATGTAATGCAATGATGTAATTTCCTTGGACTGCTCTCAGTGTGTTTCACCTTTCATTAAATCACTAAAATTATACTTGTGAACTGATGGGTGACCGAATTTTCACATGGTATAAAGAAGTGGCTGTAGTGGAAAGTACCAAGCAGCAGCTGCTCAAGGCTTTAAATGGGGTGTTGGTGATGCTACCACTCTAAAGGCTGTAGTGTGGCAGAGTATAGGTGGCTTATAGTTAATCAAAGAGATCATGTTGCCTTTGTTTAGTTTTCTCTTGTTTGCTCTTGGAGGTTCTGGACAGCTGGATCATGGGTCTTGGGAAGCTAAGGAGACACTGGTTTTATAACTGCATTGAGGGGACAACAAGATATTGTGTGACAAAACTCAAGGGCATGGAAGGAGCACTACAAAATTGCTACGTGAACTGCCAAATGTCTTGAGAAGCAGTAGTGTGGTTATAGGTAGATGCAAAAGACATATTTTGGTCTGTTTCCTACCAACTACATAACCCATGCTCTAGAGCAGGGCTGAGGAGTAGAAAAAGGTGAAACTCGCCAGAGAAATCCAAAATTATTTAGCATGAGCAAACACATTTACCTCTGTTCTAACCTTGCTCAAAATGGCTGATCTGAAATTTTCCTGGCATAAGAACAGTGAATTTCAGAGAAGCCACTGAAAAGTAATCCTTCAGGGTTTGCTATGAAGTGTTTCACTGTTGTCTTTTCCTTGCATGTAGGGTGCTAGTGGACTCTGCTTGGAGGAAATTTCCCCAAAAACCATCAGGAGCTATCTGGAGCTCACCTCTGTCCTTTCACTCCAGCTGCAAATAATTTACACATTCTCAGAATACCCCTCTTTAGCCCTAGGTTTTCTCAGACATGAAGGAAATGAAAACCCAAGGTTTTCATGTTGCTGAGCTGAGTCCCTTGTCACTGCCTCCTCTGCAGGCTCTGTCTCTGCTCATTTCACCCAGTGAAACAAAGTGGAGTTTTTCTCAGCAAGAGATGAAATCACACTACAGGAACCAGATTGAAATTCAAAGCAGGTAGTACACATAAACACAGCTTGATTCTTCACAAGCTTTTTTCCCTGGGGGATTTCAGTACCTAATGCCTATCATTTCTTTGATGTACCCTAGTTATGAAAGCAGAGCATCCAGAGCTTTTACAAAGACATCTTTCTAATTTATTCATTAAACTCAAAATATTTCTATGGCCACCTGCCCCTCTGTTCCTGTGGATCAAGTTTTGGAAACACATTAAAATGCCCATGATTTGGGTACATGAAGTACCAGAATATGAGTTTGCCCCTTTGCTTCACTTCTATAAAAGATTTTGAATAGCTTGAACCTGGGAATAATTTTGCAAAGCAGATCAATTAGACTGAATTGGATTTGCCAGCAGTGGGAGTTAAATTTTTAGTCAAATCTCTGTGTTCTGGAGCCTCACAGGCAGAAAATAACACAGGGGCAATGATTTATCATATACTTTGTTTACTGGAGAGCAGAAATTTATCCTCTCTTGTTACTCTTTCAAACCTTTTTGTCTTTTCATCTGCATAGAAATGAGGGCAAAAAAGAGAAGAAAAAAGAAAAAGAAATGAAATGCAGTTTTCAAGGGAGGATTTGTTCCAGTGCTGCCTTGTAGTGAAACATTTACTCTTTCCCAGGCCTCAGGGTGTGCCAGAGAGATCCATTGGCAGTAACTGCAGTGCCATTCTGGGCAGCACACAGCTTGGAATGGACCTCCTGAGCAACACAATCCTCTGCATATCATGCAAGCCCTTCCCAAAATGTACTATCACCCATCTCATTCCTGAAGAATGTGGGTTGATTAAAGCATGTCTGTCCCAGCAACATTCTGACTCTGGATTTTGCTATGACTGCCAATTCCCCCTGCTCCAACCTGGTTGAAAACTTCTGATCTTCATCAGAACCTACTTCATTCTCACCAACAGGGAGCAGCCATCCCGTGGAGATCTCTACTCATGATTTTATAGGCAATATCTCCAGTGCAAATAGAGAAGGGATTAAAAATGCTGCACTTTTTATTTCATTTCAGGTTTCTGATTGTCTTGGGGTGTTTGATCTTAGCAGTCCTGACAACTTTCAAGGAGTATGAAACAGTTTCTGGAGACTGGCTCCTCTTGCTGGTAAGTGAACTGTGGCTGCTGCATCACCCTGGTAATGTCCTGGATGAAATCAGCCCCATCAGCAGGGATGGAAACTTGCTCCCAGCTGTGCATGCAGTGAGGCTTCTGCTCCTGCTCCTGGAGCAGTGACTGTGCACTTACATATTGGAGAGTTCCCAGTCCATTGTCAACACCAACTGAGTAAAAAGTAAGTGAGGTTCCTGAACAAAAAGAAAATGACAGCAAAGACCCTATCCTGAGGCTTTTCAACAATGGCTTTTCAGCATTTGTCTGACAGTCCTTCCATCAGATTATCAGGAAATTTCCTATTGCCCATGCCAGACCTAAGCACACTTGAAAAATATTTTTTGGAGGAATCTTTCAACACTTTTGATTCATTCTATAGTATTCTATTAATCCTAGTATTTCTTTCAAGGGAGGTCATCAGAGTTGGATTCATGTTTTTGTCCAATAGCAGCATAACTGAAATTGCTGCAGGCAGTGCCTTTGAGAGAAAATATATTCACAGCAAACACATTCCAGATTGCTTGTTCTATAAATGCTGAAGTTCATGCTCAAGACTTTATTTCAGCAAGGCTTCCCATTTAGCAGAAGAATTAAAAAATAGAAAAAACCCTCCCTAAATATAAAATTACAAATTCAACATTTTATGAAAATGACCCTAAAAATGAACTTTCTTTGCTCCCATAGCTATCATAAAATACAGGGCACAATGTCTCACTTACCCTGGCCTTGTTTAAAGTATCCCTAGGGAAACTGCACACTAAAATTAGTTCCAGGATCTCAAATTCCATTTCCCCTTGTACCTCCAGAGACATATAGATTCAAGCAAGAGCTAAATGCCAAAAGGAATGAAAGGTGAATTCCTCTTGCATGTTCTTTGTCAAAAAGTGCCTGTATGAAAACACCTTCATCCCTCAGGGAATGGGACACTTGCTTTTGGTCTCTGTTACCCTGCTTAGGCCCATCTTTCACATTTGAAAAAGCCTGAGGTTACCTATCTTTCCTTCTTCTGTGCTTGTTTTTACATGGCTCTCAGCAGCTTTTAGAAGCTGTGGGCAATGAGCATGAGGAAAAGTCTCCTTTTCCTTCTTGCCAGCAATTCACAGAGAGGAAGAGTAACCATGTGCCCCAGGCTGCCCTTGGCACCCCGCCCTGCTGAGCACCTCAGAGAAGCTCTTTGCTCCCCATTCCCTTCCCATGCTTAGAAAGAGTCTGGAGCAAGATGGAAAATCCCATTCTTTCATCCACCAGGAATTTAAGGGAACAACATATGCCTTAAATGTGTCTTACATATGTCTTTATCACTGCTTTAAAGTTATGACCATGTGAGTATCCTGTGTCCTGCCCTGTCTGGACAGATGTGGCTGCATGAGCTGCTGGTGGCTGGCCCTGGGGGTGGGCACAGAGTGCCCTGGAGACTCTGCAGTCACCCCTCACATACATCTCCTCATTTTGTGTGGAGCAAGAAGTCTTTCTGTGAAGTGATTCTCCTTCCAGAGTGAGCACTTCACTTTTACCCAACAGCAGGGGCAAATCCTTCCTGCATGGTACTTAGCAGGCTGGAAAACTGTGTCCCCTCTTTGCCTTGCCTCTGCCATCAATCTCGATTCTCCTCCACTTTTTTCCTCTCTCTTACACATATCCTAACACTTGCACCTCATCTGTTTCTTTCAACTGTATCCTTGTGTTCAAAATTACTGCAAAACTTGTGAGACTAACAATGTTGTTTGTGTCTCGATACAGGAAACTTTTGCCATTTTCATCTTTGGAGCAGAGTTTGCCTTAAGAATCTGGGCTGCTGGCTGTTGTTGTCGCTACAAAGGATGGAGGGGGAGACTCAAATTTGCCAGGAAGCCTTTGTGCATGCTGGGTAGGCACCTACTCTCTACTACTGTTTGCCTCATTAAGGTCCCTTTTCCTTTTAAGCCAGTTTGGGGGATATCAAAAAACTGGTGATTGGCAGTGCAAAGAGCACCAAAATCAGATCTGCCCTTTATGCCAGGACTTCTGTCCTGCTTGGAGCAATTATTTCAAGTACCCAGAAATAACTTGTAGTTAAGAGACACTTGGCTACCTAGTAAATGAGAAAAAAAATGAATCCTTCTACTCTTTAAATACGTTTTTCTTGTCCTGAGCCCCATTTCACTTTTCTTAAACTCATCCTCACGAAGACTCTCTGCCTTCAGTTTCAAACCTGACTCTATACCATCTTCCCCAGCTCCCTTTCATATTTGTGTTTTGTTTTACAATTGTATTGTTGTCTGTATTTACAAACAAGTATCTTTGTGATTTCACCCATGTTGTCTTTCAAGCTTGGAAGGCACTGCCTATAATTATCCACACAATTACTCATTATTCATGTTTGAATACCCTCCTGCAACTACTCATTATATCCACAAACCAACCAGCCAACATTCAGGAGCTCAGTCTGCCCTGAACACTGGTCATCCCCATTCATTCACTGATTTTAGGATACCCTCACTTGTTTCAACTCTCTTCAGGCCAAGCACTGGGTTTTTTTCTTTATTTGTATGGCACATAACATTCTGAGCCATGGTGCTGCATGAATACAAGCCTCTCCTTTTGTTCATCTCATGGATCTAAATGGTAGGCAAAATTGTGACAAATTTTCTTTGTGCATCTGTGCTATCCTCAATTTAGTGATGCTCCTTTGGGTGCTACTGTTGTACAAATACTTATATTTTTGTAGGTTTGGGAAGGCAGCAGATGTGAAAAAGTGGGATTGATCCTGTCTCATTCCTTCTCAGTAACAGTGTCATCTCACTCCTGAGTATGAATCTTCATTGATATGTGGGTAAAAACCAGAAGATATCCTGGATTTATTAAAATCATCTCTCATTTGCCACTGGTACAAGTTTGTTTTGAGAATGATTGGAAGTGAATAAATCTGAAATCCACTTTTTTGGCTGGAAATAGAATATAAAGACAATAATCAAAGACTGAGTGCCCAGAGCATGTTTGAAGCTGTTTGGTACCACTTCCTTCTTGTATGTGTATATAGGATCAAAAAGCAGAGGGAAACAAAAAAAAGAAAGAAAACAAAAATAATTTATTCACATTTCAAACCTCTTTAGTTATCAGCAAATTGCTCCTGTGAGCATTTTCAAAAAAAATAGTAGTACTGATTGCAAGATTTGAGTGGGAAAACTCAGCCAGAAGAATAAAATGGTAATGGTACCATCAAACCTGAATTTCTCATCTGCTGACCTGTTCACTGTGGTGTTCCAGTGGCACAGATGAAGCTAAAGCTGATTTTCTGTCAGCATTAGGACACTGTTCCGTGCATCCCTAAGTGAGCTCAGTGTCTCAGGTCCAGTGCATTGATCTGTAAATAGATCCCAAAGCTTTCCAGGGGGTTCTGTGCCTGATACTGATGTGTGGCAGCTGCAGATATCTGATTAATTGGCAGGAGAAGGCATTTGCAGGCAGCTCTGAAACTCGCCTAGGGAAATTTGCAGCACAGCCAGATGGGATTAAGAAGCAGGTGATGGGGCCACTTTTGTTGGCAGACTTTGTCCTTTTTGCCTTGCAGATATCTTTGTGCTGATTGCTTCAGTGCCAGTGGTTGCTGTTGGGAACCAGGGCAATGTTCTGGCAACATCTCTCAGAAGCCTCCGCTTCCTTCAGATCCTCCGGATGCTGCGCATGGACCGGCGCGGCGGCACCTGGAAACTTTTGGGATCAGCCATTTGTGCACACAGCAAAGTGAGTGAGGAGCTTGCAGGGCTCAGATGGGGCTTGGGGGGAAGATTAAAAGGAGAGGGGGTGCACAAGTACAGCAGTGCCTTGGGGTTATGTTTAGCAGTTCAAAATGCAGTTTTGTTCTTTCAGCTTTATTCCCTTTTCCATTCTCTGAACCATTTTGCCCTTTGTTTTACCTGTCTGTGCTCAATAGTGATGCTGGGAAATGAGACCATGTTCATTCCCACATGTTACAATAATTTTGCCTTTACTGTGAATGGAAAGCAGGGACATCCCTTTTGTAGTGAAGGATGCTGAAATCCTTGACAAAAAAAGCCTGGGAAGTTGCAACATGTTTGTAGTGGTGTCTCAGACTTGTCTGATCAACAGATGGAGTAGGTCTCTGAAGGGATGGAAAGAGGCTGAGTAGCCTGAGAAATGTGCACAGAAATGTGGTTTCCAAGGGGGCTACTGGTAAAATTTTTCTTTGGAAGCTTAGGTCAGACAATACAGAGATGGACACAGTGGGAACCCAGACAGGCAAAAATTCCTGAAGTCATCTTTGCTTGGCCTAACTTGATGCTGTAGTCAGACACACCATCTTGCACCAGACAGGTACTTGTGTTCGTGCATTTTCACAAAACATTATTACAAGTCAAAAACTATCTGCTTAAAATCTCTGTTTAAAATATCTGCTATCTCATCCTCTAGATGAGATTTCTCATCTGCACAAGATGTAGAAAAATGACATGTACTCCACTACATACTGCTTTTTCTTACCCATGAATGACATTCCTGACATCTTAGGGGGTTTTGAAAGCTAAAATGCCAACTGGCATAGCATATTTAGACTTTACTTCTGTGCACAGACTAATGGGGATGCCCACCATGCTTCATTTCTTATGAACTTCTGCTTCTTCCTCATATAAACTTTCTACAAGACAGGTGGCAGATAAACACTTGTGTCAAAAATGTTTCTCAGGAAACAGATCGTGGAAGAAATCTGTGTAACAAAAACATTGTTTATAAATTGTTAAAGGCTTAATGATGTGGGATTTCGTTCAAGTATTCCTTGTTTGGTTTTTCACCATGCACTTTTAGACCTCCGCTGGCTGAGGGACATTAGAGGGTGTTGTGAGAACTTTGATTTAGTGGAGACCATGACGAAACAGTTTTGCTAGCAATTTCCTGTTGTGACTGCACACCAGAAATTAGCTAAGAAAGTTTTTCACTTATTTCATAATTCAATTATAAAGTTATCAGCTACAACTTTTTTCTAATTTTTTTTTGTCTCAATACAGTGAATTGAATTGGATGAATGGCTAATATGAATTATAAAAATGAATTGGAATACTGATTTTTTTTGACCTCTGAAGACCTTAAAAAATGTTTCTCCCTTGTTTCATATATTCTGGCATTCTGGGATTTTAACTTGGGTGGCTGCATGCCCTACCTCTGTGGGGCACTCCACTTTAATCATTCTCTCTAAAACAGAAAGTTAGGGGTTTGTTTGCACACTGAATATTTTCAAGGTCTGTTCTTATTGCATAAATTCATTATGAAAACATCATTCATGATGGGATCAGCATTGATATGGCTGAAGAGATGGAAATGCATCCTGCAGCCTTGGCTCTCTGGAGGTAGGGAGAGGGCAGAGCTGTTGGTTTGTTTGCCAAGACCGACCAGGCCCAGGGGCAGCAGGAAAGGAAAAAGCCAAGGTCAGGGTCAGGGCCCTGCATCCCCCTGTGCCATGGGTGCAGCTCAGCCCTTAGCCCAGCTTAAGGCAGAGCCACAGCTGCAGATTCCTCCAGGCTGCTCCTAAGGAAGGTTCTGTGTGAGGGCCAATTCTTGTAAATCTCTGCATTATTTCCCACTAAGTGCTGAGCTGGGCTGGTCGTGGATGTGACCACAGCCAGCAGTGACAGCTCTGCTGCTACCCTCTGTGCTTCTCTCTCCTCCTGATGTTTACTCTGCTACTGTGGATATTGAGGCTCTTTTCAGCCCCTCTCTGTTCATCTGTTTCTTTTGCAGGAGCTCATCACTGCTTGGTACATTGGGTTCCTGACGCTCATCTTATCCTCATTTCTTGTTTATCTGGTTGAAAAAGATGTTCCTGAAAAAGATGCTAATGGGGTGGAGATGAAAGAGGAGTTTGAAACCTATGCAGATGCGCTGTGGTGGGGGCTGGTAAGTGACTCCAAAATTACCTTATACACTTCTTTAAAACTTCATGTCCAAGAAGAGATAAAGTTTTAGGGATTACAGTACAAGTGCTGCTGTATCTGGGTGAAAGGCACATTACACAGGAACATTATCAAAGTAGGGGTGCCTCTACAACCAATTGACAGAACCTACAACCCTGCTGATTTTCAGGTTGATTTTCAGAAAATGGCCCTTAGGTGCTTAATTTCCTTCAGAAATCAACCTGTGTTCCTGGTGCCTGGGAAATCTCTTTTAGAGGAGCATCTCTTTAGGTGTAACTGCACTATGGGAGACTGAGCTCTCATGCCAGCAGTGTCCTGCAGTGAGAGCTGTGTTCCTCAGAAAATGGCAGAGCCAGAGGTGCCCAGTGGATGGGTCTGTTGGGTTGTCAAAGAGCACCAAACATTTGGGCAGTTGAGGAAGACATGCATAGCAGGTTTAGTTCTTATGGAGGCAGTGACTGAAGATATCTCTGGGTTCAGATGGAGGAAGTAAAAAAATATTTCTGGAAAGGTTAACATAACAATTCTCATGTCTTACATGCATTCCTCAAAGATCAGGGAGTGCCATTAGTGGTAAAATGCTGAACAAGAGGGACTTTTGATACATCTGTTCTTGTCTCTTCTGATTTAGAGAGGAGTATTGGTTTGCACCACTTATTCAATCAGATATTCCTGCCATTCCAGAATTCATGTTGCTTTGTTACTGATAGTTGAGGAAGTCTATGTCATGCTGTGACTTAAATTCAGCAGCATATTTTTTATTCAATGTAGTTCACTCGTAAATATAAAATACTCCCCTTCCCCCATTATTAGTCAAAAGATACCAAGTGTTGCCTAGAACACCTGGATGTTTCCATGTCCTTTTATATCCAGGACATTTAGATGGAGTCTCAGTGGTGAGAAAATGTGCACAGCTGGAAATTAACAATTGTGCCAGAAAGGAGAATGTTTTTACAAAGACATCTTTGTTTTAAAAACACCAGGACTTCAGGTAGAGCTAGTTCTGACAGGTTATTAAGGGTCTGCAAGCTGTTAAAAGTGGCAAATCCCATTCCTGACTGTGTACTGATGGTGAGCAGGAGATTTATGTGGAGTTCCCTTGCAGCAAATGCACCTGAAAGAGGCAGCTGCTTTGAGACCAAAGCCATTCTGCATGCAGTGCCTTGGGATTATGATGCCACCAAAAAATTGGTTGACTCATCCTCAAGATCCTATTCCACCAAGCTGTGCATGAGCATCCTCAGGGCTGAGTTACATACACAGCTTTCATGGTGGCATTTACACAGAGCTGTTGGCTTTGTTTTTCTCACGTTAAACCCTGGTTCTTGTGCCCACAGATCACCCTCGCCACGATTGGATACGGTGACAAAACCCCTAAAACATGGGAGGGACGGCTGATTGCAGCCACCTTCTCTCTCATTGGAGTGTCCTTCTTTGCTCTTCCTGCAGTAAGTACCTTCCCCTCCTCTGTTAGACACAGCCCAGCTCTGTGCACTTGCAAAAAGAAGGTAAAGTTAATAAAATCACCAATGGAACCAAATCCCTTTTAAAGAAGTACTCCAGATTCTTGAGTGGGTCTGTATCAGGAAAAGGAACTTGTTTCTTCCCAACTTTGCACAGAGCCTATTGGGAATAATATGTCACCCCAATACTCCTCAAGTCATTATGTGGGCATTGCCTGACAGTGCTAGTTGGATAGGACAGAATTAAACCAGCAAGTGAACAATCTAGGAAATCACAAGGCAGTTCATGAGACTGTACACTGGCATTTGGTAATTTACTGGTACTTATTAGCATAACCCCCACAAAACATATTTTCAAAGGATTTGGGGCCCACCAATGTAATAATTAGAATTTGACCCATCTTACCCAGCCCTTTATTTCCTTTGTCTGCAATGTCCTCAGATAAGAAAGAGACAAAATCTGACTGAGATGGGCTGAATAGCAACAGAAACTGCCCCAGTCCCAGATTTTAGGATATTTTTCCTCTAGATCCAGACTTGGAAAGAATTTCACAAAGGATGACAAGTCCTGTGCTCTCAGATCCAAAGCATGGTATAGCACAGCCCTTGTATCATGCAAGCAGAGTTTCAGTGGAAATGGAAAGTAACACAGCAGCTGGAAACCACCAGCTTGGGAAGGCAGTAGACATTCAAGAAGCCTCTTGAGGACCTTTAATGGTTTGGTGTGGCCTGTGGTCCTTGAGAGGATCATGACAACCTCCTGTCCCATGAGTGGAGCAACAGGAAAGGCATGGGAACTGTACAGAGACTCCCTGTAGCCATCTCCATCTCCACCCTGTATCCTCTCATCATTAATCCCTTTTGTTCTGAGTAAGAAAAGTCTAAAATCTTGCATCACTCTATGCTTCCAGGGCATTCTGGGGTCAGGGCTGGCACTGAAGGTCCAGGAGCAGCATCGTCAAAAACATTTTGAGAAAAGAAGAAAGCCAGCAGCTGAGCTCATTCAGGTTTGCAGCCCTTTCCTCTTCCTTGAAAAAGTGCTGTGCATGAAGAATACTGCATCATGTTAGCAAGGGTTACCACTTTTCCCCTGCCCAAATTCTCACTTCCCTTTGCAGGAGGTGAGAATTTTTGTTTGTCAGTTGAGCTGGATAATGCAGAGGCCTTTGCAGTTTTGAGGAATCTCTCAACTCCCAGAATAACTTTCAGAAGAACAGTGTCTTGCAAAGAAAGGATCTCATCTGCTAGCTTATATAAACCAACTGGCTTCTGCATCACTGCCACAAAATCACAGGAAGCAAGCTGTTGAAAACACATTCTTTACAAAATACAGATTTTTTTTCAGTTCCCTTGAGAAAATGCTTTTCCGTGCAAACAGTTATGTTGTTATTGATGTGAAAACAGCAATAGAAGTAACACAATAGACAGTGACAATTTCAATCAAGGCAAATAATATAAATAGTATATGTGGGGTTTAAAAACTAATCTGCACCCTGTATCCTTTGTTATGTCATTGGATGATCCAGAAATTCAATGGGAAGAGAGCCCAGTTATGGCCTTTGTTATGAATTCAGGATATTAAGCTTAAAATCATTTTTCTGTATGCTGACAAATTTGAAATTATTTATTCTTACTAGGTATGGAGCACATCCTGAGAACAGTTAAGTAAATGACAGCATTTTCACAGAGGGACAGAGAAAGTTTCTGTGATAACAAATGGAAGCATTGGAGCTCAGGATTGAGCCAGTCCTCAGGAGAAATAGGCTGAATGGCATTAAAATTCATGGCTGTTCTCATTAAAAACACACTTTAGCAAACAGAGGGGCTGCAGGCATGAATTGTGAATAGAATTTGATGGAACTTAATTTTAAATTAAAGCATCTCCACTGATCAGGTAGCTTATGCAGCTAGTGGGTTTCAGGTTGGGGAAATTTTTGGGGGGGAATTTTAATTTGAACTAAATGCTGAAGTAGAAAATTGCCTAGCAAAATTTCTTCTGATGATACATTAGGAGGCAAACTATCTTAAGTATTTCCAGAATTACTGGACAAGTCCAGAAGTGCTTGAAGTTCTTTTAGACATACCAGACGGGACAATAAAACCATTTTAGTCTAATGTAATGTCATGTTCTGATAATGGTTCTCTCCATGTCCTGTCTCCTTTAACAGCCCTCCAAGATCAAAATTCAGTGTCAAAAGCTTTTCCATATAGTGGCACTCATTTGGTATGGCTGATTAGTAATTAATTTCCAGATAGTGACTCAGGTGCATTGTTATGTACTTTGACAGTGTATGGCTGCAGTCAGATGGGAAATAACTTCACCTAACACTAATTATTTCCTCTCCCTTGTAATTTAGGCTGCCTGGAGATACTATGCTACTAACCCCAACAGGATTGATTTAGTTGCTACCTGGAGGTTTTATGAATCAATTGTATCATTTCCATTTTTCAGGTAAGTGCATTGTCCACCTCTCCATCATCATTTTCTGTGAAGTATCAGTCAGGATAGGAAACACAGACTTTATATATATATGCATATATATATCAGTGAAACTTTTGTAGGCAACAGATGTTTTCCAGAAAACTCTTCTGAAGAAGAGGAATCTTTTCTGAGGCAGTGGTTTAATTTCAGTCACCACTTCTGAGTTCAGTGAAAGTATTCCATACATAAAGACATTCAGATAAAATGGATGCTTATCTGTTTATGGCTATTAGATTGATCCTCACTCTCCTTGCCTGTCCAACAAGCATCTTTCTCACACTTAGATCTTAACATTTTAAAGAAACATTTTAAAATTTTTTTTTTTTAAAAACCTGTATGGCCCTATGAAAAACCAAGACCTTTAGCTACAGATTATGAGCTGATAACGATGAGCATTACATATCCAAGTTAGTGCTTTAAATGTTCCTCCTGCTCTTGCTGCTGTGCCTCACTCTGAAGAAAAGTGCCCTTAAACTGCTGTTCAACTCAGAGGTCCCATGCATAGTTGTGCTTACTTTACCTGATACTGAAGCTCCAGCTGTTGCTCAAGACTGCCTTGAAATGTTTCAGACTCCTGCTTTCACAAGGGCAAATTACAAATACTCACCCTTTCTTTGTTTTAGGCACAATACATTTTTAGAATCCATTTCATGTGCTTCAAAAAGGAAACCTCTACAAAAAAAAACAAAACAAACAAAAAAAAGAAAAAAAAACCAAAAAAAACCCCAAACAAAAACAAAGAACCCACCAAAAGTGTTTAATTAAGGCTCAGAACATTTCTTTCCTTTTCTTCATTGCTTTCATTTTCTGTCTATTCCCACATTTTCCATTACAGAGTAATATCTTCAGGATTTCTTGACTGCAGGGTTTTTCAGAGAATAATTCTCAGATTCATAAGGAGTCTGGACTCATTACTGTGACTTCAAGCTAGCTCATTTTGTGTAGGTTCTCCTGTGATCCAGATGCAATCTGAAATTTAATAGGTGCTTTGCAAATAAGATCCTGGGAAGGAGGGCAGGGAAGATCACTGCTCACTAAAGACTGGATTGCCAATCTAAGCAGCACAGACTGGTTTCAGAAATCTATATCACTTCTTTTTTTGTTTTATAGCTAGTTGAAAATGTAGCTTTTACTCTGCTTTTTCTGTCAGTTATGGTCACAGAACAAAAGAGGAATAAGGTATTAGCAGTAGATTAGCAATTTATATTTTAAAAATATGCTGAATTCATGATGTGATTTTTCTCTCATTGCTTTCTTGTAATGCATCCTCTCTTCTATAAAAGGAAAGAGCAATTGGATGGTACTGCCAGGTATGTAGCTGTCATTATTATACATATATGTTTTAATGCAGCTGTTGGAGGATGCAAGCTAAATAGTTCTATGTGGATTCATGAGCTGTTAACTAAATCATGCTACTAACACCACAGGTAATCATTAAAAATTATTAACAAGTCCATTTCCTAACTGCTTGCTTTTTTCCCTAGTTTAACAACACAGCTAAAATGCTAATTGTACAAAGGCAGTGTTGCTTGCTGATTGTCTGTAAACAGCTTTATTGTTTGTTATGACTAATCATGGTCTAGATTTCTCCTGATCCATGCTGCAGAGCCAGGGTTTAGCATCCAGGCTGTTCTGGGGGGAATTTAAGACTCTGGTTGCTGTTGTTGCTTCACAGTCTTGCACAGAGCAGTGTTGTGGTGTGATCCAGTGGCAGTTCACCCTGTGAAAAGTTTTGTTGACAATAAATACAGGGATGAGTGTCTAAGATGGAATAGCAGGATAGTCAGTCTCTCTGGTGGTACTGTAAAAGTGCATTAGGTTTGAGGGCCTGGTGCCACCCATGCTGAATAAAACAGGAAAGCTCCCAGGCTCCCCATCACACCGGGGTATTCACAAGCAAAGAGAATGAAGGAATCCTCAACCCCAGCACTGGCCAGTCACTGAAGAGCAGCAGAGCAGCCACTGTCAGTCAACCTGCAAAGTCTCAAATGGAAATGATATCTCTATAACCCTCTTCAGATAAGTAGAAGAGTCAAATGCACATACAATAATTGTAACTCAAAACTTAATGTTAAACCACTATCAATGAGTCACCCACATGAAATTCAATAGCAATTAAAGGATAAATAGCTCCACAGTGCTGAAGCTACTTCAGTTTGCTTCACTATTTAGAGCACAGAGAAAAGGAACAAAATTGTAGCTACATTTGAAAACTGTGAGCCAGAGGTCAGGTCTGGAGTTCTAGTCCCTGACTTGATGAAAAGTTATGTTTTTATTTTTTGTTTTTTAAATATTCCATGTAACAGATGAGAACTTCAATATAGGAAGTTGACCAAAAAAAAAAAAAATTACACTTGCTGTTCTTCTAGGAACTTTTGGGATTCAAGCTTCATTTAGCAGAGAAGAAAAACCTATCTCAAGTTTTCTTACAATACAGGGAAGTGCTCTAGTGACAGATTATTGGGAAAGGATGTCTTTGTCCTCTTACCATCAAAATCATGAGCCCACTTGCACCTCCTCAAAGATGACTGGGTGGGAGGTACCCAGTTTGTGAACCCCCATGGACCTCAAGTACTTTAGAGCCATGGCACTCCCCAGGCTAAGCAGTCATGAGCAAGCTCAGTTGCATTAATGCAGATGTTTGGAGATTTTAGTCATCTCCAGTCTTGGTAACAGCTGAATTTTGGTCTTTAATATGTAGGGAAGAACTTAGGAGCTGAAATCCTTTTGAGTATGTAGTTCCTTAACTTGAGTCAAAATGTTCTGGCTGAGATGCAGCAGCAGATTAAAATTAAGTAAGAGAATGCCTGCTGCAGTTCACTGTTGATCACAGCCCCACTAGAGAAGCTCCTGCACCTGCAGCAGTTCTGAGTTACTGGAGCTTTCAGGCAGTAGAAATCATTTGATGTCAACACACTGAATTAAAAATGGAAAAGTATGACTCACAGCTCAAAATCTTTAAAGCTATAATCCCAAGGCCCCTCATTCTAGCTGGATGTAATTTGGTTTTATTATATATATAATAACCCTCAGCAAAATCATCAGTACACCTGCATGGGAGCCTTCATGCTAGCAGAAATGTGTTTATGGAATGAGGCATTCAGTTAAAGGGATTGGAAACTCTCCAGGTAAACAGACATATGATGGCACTTGTGGGAATATCCACTGACTTCAGTAGAAATGTGACTGAGCCATAAAATCTGGTTGTTTTGACAGTACCACATCCCATCTCTTATAAAACTCTTATTTAGAAACAAGATAATTAAAAAAAAAAATCTTCTTCCTTCTGCGGGGATTTGGTATAGAAACTATTCCTCGTATTCCACTGAAGTTTGTGCTTTGACTGTATTGAAATAAATGAGCAATAAGGGAATGTGGGCCTAATGGGGAGAACAGCCCATAAGTGTCCTCAGTCTTGAGGTTCTTCCATCAGTTTAGTACTTAAAGAGAAAGTAAATAAGTAGTAATGCTGCTGTAGTAATCAATTGCATCATCTGATCCATGGTTGACTAAGGAGATAAGACAATTGGTCCAAAATTTTCACAGAAGCTTTCAATAAACTGAAAATGAGGCCTGGCTGTGTCAAAATTTGAGGACCAGAAGTGCTTTAAGTTTAGAGGTTTTAGTAGTAGAGTGAAAGCTCTTTAGGAACTCCGCAGTTCTAGAGTTGAACTCCAAGACACATCCTTCTAGGATCTCTCCTGGATCAGGAGAGAAGCAGGAGCTGGCATGATGACAAAGTCACAGATAGATACAGGACCTTGTTCTTAGACCATTTGTGAAGAACACAGGGGTCACAAATGAGTGGAAAATCCATTTCAGAAGTTGGATCCCAAGGCAAGGCTGCAGGGAAGGACTTTTCACAGTGGAAAATCAAGCAAATTTTGTCAGCAATCTAAGGCTTTACTGAAGCTCCGTTTAAAATAAAGCTGTGAAGATGTGAGATATGATGAAGAGGACATTGGACAGGAGCTTGACTCTGTCCTGTAAAAAGTAAAGGCAAGTGGTAGTTATGATGCTGCTCTTAAGAAGAGCATATTCCCTATGTGTAGTCCCCCAACCCAGGAGGAGCTGAGCTGTGCTCTCTGTGGCTCACTGATGAGGAGTTTACTGACCTCATGCCAGAGGTGCCACCAGCCTTTTTTTCCTGAATCAATGCCTAACCTCACAGCCCCATGAAATCTCAGACAGCAACTGCTTTTCTCCCTGTATTGCAAAGCTTTTCAATTTGTTCAGCTCTCCAGAAGGGAGATTTATGAGGATGAGATACTAATGCTCATTTCTGCAGGCATGCAGCGAATCATTCAACAAACATTTGGGAGCCTGACCTACATTTAGGATGGGCATTTGCTTGCCAGATGTATTTTTATTCTGAGCAACTTTTTATGTCTGTCTTTCAGGAATTAATATTGGGGCCTGATTTTTCAGTGCTGTTATTAGCAGCCGTTCCACTGACTTTGACCAGAGTTTAAACTTGCATGTACAGGCACTTTAGTGAAGAATTTTGAACTTTCTTCTAGGGTATTACTCCTGATCCTCATTGTCCAGCTTTAGAACTTGATATCAGGAGAGCATATTCATTCCAAGATCTATTATTATGTGATTGCAGAAAAGTCATTTATCCCTGTTTCCCTATCTCTATAAGATAAATAATATTTCTGTGCCTTTGGAAAGTTGATTTGATTTTTTTTAAATGGCATAATGAGTACCTGTCCTTCCTATTACATGAGTATGAAAGAATTCATGAAATATGGTACATTTTTGTATTGCCAATGCTGACAACAAAATGAAAATAAAACCCTACTTTGCAAGGTGTAAAATTTTGTTGTAAGCTATTAATCCTAATACATCTGCCCAAAACAGGAAGGAAAAAAGGCCACTCTAATCTGCACACTGCATTAACTACAAATGAAAGGCTCCCATTCTTTTTCACAGAGCTTTTCATGAGTAATCATTAATGTCTCATCTTAATAACTTTTCTTCACTTTACAGTAATGTCATGATTAGTAGGGAGACATTCTTTGGATCAAGCCTCACAAGAAAACTTAGGTATATATGTTTAAGTAACAGTTGAGCATTATTCTTTTCATATTTCTTGCATGCCATTCTCTGCCTGCACTTTCTGTTTTAACTACAGTAATTCACCTAACCACCATCAAAAGTAAGGGACAATCAGACTGAAAAGTTATTAAGCATAAAAAGAAAGTTGCATGACCTTACAAATAGTTAATTGTTCTACTGTTCAGAAAACATGGGACATTATCCTAGCTCTCCCAAGAATCTGCTTAGAAACAGGTGCTTTTCTCTGTTTCTATTGAATGGAAATTAAACTAGCTTGGTCTGCAAAGAATTTTGAAATTTACTGTGAGAAAAATATACTGTAAGAGCTAAACACTGTTCCTTATGGGGTCCCAGCCGTGCCAACACAATTCATGCAAGTTACTTTGAATTTGAGTTCAGTGGAACAACATCTTTGCCTGTGTATTTGCAGGTTCTGGTTCAGCAAATGGAAAACAAGTGGATGCTTTTGGCCATCTGAATAAAGTTAGTGATATGCTTAAATATCTTGCTGAACTGTGACCTAAGACCTGGGGCAAGAACTTTACCTTCCTGCAAAGAGACATAGACATAGCTTGTGGCGCTTCAGGAATACAGAAGACACATCATTAGAAATAATATTTTGGCTGAATTGCAAAGTGTTTCACTCTATCCCACACCTTGCTGTCATTCAACTTTATCTGGTTGTTCTCATTCCAACTTCATTCCACAAACATGAAACCATCTACCTGTAACTCAGCTTTTCTAGCTGGAGCTCTTCTGCTTTTGGAGAGCAGCAAGTAAAGCACTCAATTTTTTCATTTGATGATTGGCCCATGCACAATAGTGAAGAGACTTTGATTTAGCAGTTTTGATTTGCTTTCTAGTGCTTGATACATGATATGTTCACTTTGAAGCAAAAAGTGGGTCAGCATCCATTTCTACCAACAATGGGTGCATCCCTTGGTGAAAAACATCCATCCTGGTTTCACAATGAATTGGATTTGGATTATTCTTCCCATAGATTTATGTGACATTATTTATTTTCATCCATCTTCAGTGCCTTTAGAAAGTGTGAGTGAGAGAAGGGGCTAAGCAAAGGCCTTTAGTGCATGTAAAAGCTCTTTCTTTTTCTGAAGGGCATCAAAGTTGAGCTGAAGTTTTGATTTGTGCTCAAGTTTGTGGGCAGATAGTCTAGATGGTAGTTCAGTCTGGATTTTGAGTCATACTCACCCTTAAATACTGGTGAGGATGTACACCACCAAGGAGTGTGGAAATTTGTTGACTTAGAATGGATGTTTCCATGTTTCCTCCTCACATGTTAGAAACTTGCAAATTTAGGCCTCAAGATTCAGGGTGCAAAGCGAAGTCTTTAGTTTTCAGGAATCTGTAGTCAGCTATTTTGGGACAGAACATTTTTGTGAGATCCTCTCTGAAGGAAAGAATGCTACTCAATAAAAGGGAAAGTTGATTGGCTAAAGTTTAGAACTACCTCAGAAGTGTGGAATGTTCTTTGTTTAATCTTAAGAAATCCCATGGACTGTCTGAGATCAGTTGAACAGGTTTACTGCAGAATTCATGTCTGTCATAACATTAGTTTGGTGTTAATTTCTATTAGGAAGTGTTCAAAGCAGAATATGGGATACTTCTGGAAACCTCACTCAGAATGTTTGATTTTCCAAAGCTAAGTTCACCCATTTCAGTTCATTTGATAAGGTACAAAAATGCTGGAGTAAACATGACTTCCTTCTGCTTCCAGTTACCTGAGACCAATTACATCTTGTGATTTTAAACTGTAAATAATATGGAAAAATCTCCTGATTATCATTTGTCCTTGTTAGGTGAAAGTGGTAAATCCATGGCAGAGGGCTGTTTGGTTCACTCTTAGAATTAATTCACTGTTTTCCTCCTCACACACATACCATTTGTTTATGAAACTCCAATAATAGGAAAAGGATAGAGAGGAGAGTATCTGGCATGCATGATGGGATGTAAATGCATTATTTCTTTGCATGACTGTTTCTGGAAAATATATCTAGTTCAGTGGTTCCCACTCTTTGTTCTGAGCAAGGGTAAAACGTGCTGCAGAAGCCAGTCATCTCTCGTATATCAAGCCACAAAAATAATCTCTCAGGTGATCCAAAATAATTCCCACTGCTCTTGAGGAACAAAAATTTAAGAGCTGAATTTTCTTTAGGTAGAAAGAAACTGCACTGCTCTCGCTTTCCTCCCTTTCTGGTGATCTGTATCTACCACAAAGTTAAGGAATTCTCATCCTGGGTCCCATTTCAAAGACACAGGGTTTGGAACCCATGAGAGAGAGGATCTAATAGCATGCAAGACAAGAAATGGTGATTTATCCAAGCTAGTCAGAGAAACTACTCTGGATTTTTGTCAGCATGCTTGGGATGGATTTGTATCTCCCCAGTTTCTGTAACTGTGCTGGAAGTTGAGAATTATGTTTTCTTGAACATAAGGAAGCCAAATGAAGTGGGACCACTCTTCCCAGGGGAGGAAGAGTAGCTGACATCAGAAGGGGGAGTCTGAAAGAGGAGCAGCAGTGCATGAGCCCGTGGATGGGAACCACTGTCCTAGCCCCTCTCATGCAGGATGCTGCGGTCGGCGCATGCTTCACGCCCGGGACTGAGCCATGCGCATGCTGCTTTGATGAGGAGATCGTGTCATGAGAACAAACATTCCTTCAGTACTTTTAAAAAGATCAATGAAAACTACAACCCCAGCAGACCCAGATTTCATTCCTTGGAAATGAGAATAAAGTCCATTTTTTTTTTTCCTGATGACAGTTATCTGGAAAGAAGCTTGGGTTTTGTTTGGGGTTCTTTTTATACACATGGTTGAATATTTTGATGTGAAGCTGATGAATTATTGTCTGATGATTTTACTGCTCTGGCTGCCAGATAAGAACACAATTGTCTATATTTGTTGCATTTACATACTGTCATAAATCTGAATGTTACTTCAAGGGTTAACCTTCAGGATTCCATTAATGAGGAAGGCTTCAGCTCAGGTAACTTTAACTTAGACTAGAGACCTGCTTTTTGGATGACTTCTCATCTAGATCTTTCCATAGTCAATAACAAGAGCCATGTCCCCCAAGTATAAAGTCATCCCAAACTGAACCACACTTTCCCCACTCACTGGTTAGAGTTGCTGACTTCCCACTGATTACAGAAATGGGTCTAAAGAGTAGTCTTAGACAGGAAGTTTAACTTCTTTAACAGCTTAAAAAAGATCAAATGAGTTCTAGCTCATAAACCTAAGATGCTCAAGCAACAGTCTTTGGAGAATAGTTTCTTCCTAAACTGACTCTTATCAGCAGGGATAGCTGAAAAACTCTGAAAAGAAAATCTGAAAATGTTTTCAGTTTGTACTATCTACCTTAGGTCCCACCACACTAAAAAAACACCCAAAAACCCCACAAATGAGCATGCCAACATATGCAGAGGAAAATGTCACTGTAAATAAGTAGGGTTTTGTGCTGAATGCAGAGGAAATTTTTGTTCTGATTTTATCTATGAGGAGGATATAAAATCTTGTTCAGTCCCAGTCTTGCACAGCTCTATGACAAATTTCTGCATATCTTGCTGATATTGCTGTCCTATACTTTAAAAATGTCACTAGATTAATATTTGGATACTTCGCATCATCTACTGAGCCTTTTCCTTGTGGTCTGATCCCTACAGGTCCCCATCTCACTTTATGCCTCCATTTTTTCTGGTATGCAAGGCAGTTATCACAGGACTTTTAAGGGGCAAACTTTGGGCAGCTGGTTATGTATTTTAAAGAACTAAGCAAGTTTCTGGACAGGGATATAGTGACCACATGTAATGACAACTGTATTATTTTAATGTAGTACTAAACAGCATTTTATAAACAACAGCAGTCTTTTGCCTCACCTATTTTTCTGCTTCTTTGCCTTTCAGGTTCTGTTCCTTAAAGATGTTTTTCTCTTGAGAGTTTCTCCGTAGTGTTACTAACTCAAATCGTGTGACATTTAGTACATTGCTCGAAGCCAGTGTGTGTTGTGTGACCACTTGACTCTTCCTTTCATTTGAGATTCATCTTTCAATTATCTATTGTCAGTGACCTGCAATCCCCCCACCTAGAGAGTGGTGATCTCCACAACAAGCCTTTTGCACAATTTTTTCAGACCCAGAAACAAACTTTGTCGTTTTATTATCATGGAACAGATCTCCTCATCCTAAAACTGCTTTGGTTTCTCCTTTTTTGTATCTTATTCCACAGTCTCCTTAAGTCTGCACAGATAACACCAGGATGTCCATACCTCATTGCTCTTTTTTCTTTATAATAAAGAAATTCTCACTCTCACAAGCTCATTCTCTCTAAAAACTTCAGGCCCATCAGTTTATATTGCCTGGCTGACTCTGTTATCACTTAACTAGATTTTTGGTGCATTTCTTTGGATTAAAATTCTTTTCAGTGATGTGCCATGATTCTATACTCCTCTTGACCATACTTCTCAAAATTAATTCCTCCTTCAGACTTTGATTTATTAATGAGACATGAGAATTTATTTTCCCTACTTTACCTGCCCAAAAATCCCACATGCAAATCATTCAGTTGACTTTTACTTCCTCACCTTTATATTTCATGCCCTTTTCAAACTTGCTCATTAGTTTTCTTCTCCTGTATATATTTGCCCTATGTATGGCAGCTGACTGCTTGAAGAATCCAAATTTCACAGAGAATTGAAATATCTGACTTTTAAAGCAGTACTACTCTTAAAAGTGGTCAAACAGAGAAGGGAAAGTGATGCAGAAAAGAGGGTGCAGGATCTCCCTAAGTTAGTAGAACACAAATCACATGCTGGGACTCTGCATTCACCATCACTTCAGTGTTGACAGATCCTTGGTGGGCAAAGCAGATCAAGATTCCACCCCAAAAGGAAGAACTATGGAAATAATTTTTAAACCTATTTTATATTTTAAATAATTTTAAAGAGTTCTTAAGCTCAAATGTAAGATTTTCAGAAATGTATTTTGTCACAAATGTCAACAAGCAGCATCTTTTTCTACAATTTTTACTCCATACATTTGTCTTCGCTTTTTGCATCTTACCCCCGTGCCATGAATTCTTCAGGAAATGACATTAAGGCAAAGTCTGAGTAATATAGACATGATTCATTTAGATTATTCTAATTCTTCACTCAAATCCATGCTTTATCTCCTGGAAATGCTCATATATCAGGACTAAATCTGTGCCTTTGTACCCAACTTCTCCTTAGTTGCCACTTCAGTACTCACATACACACGTGTACTTCATCCATGCAATGATAGGGCAAGTGTCTGGACTTCCCTGGCTGCAGAAATTACATTCTCAAGTATTTTCATATCAAAAAGGAAAGTCAAAAGGGTTGGAAAAACTTCTTACACCCAAAGGTTTAGTGCTTGCAACTTTTCTGATAGGGAATCCCACAATTCATTACTCCCTGGGTCAGAGATATATTAATCAGGAACAGACAGTAGAGATGAGAACTCCAGTAATTCATGTAAACAATCCCCCAAAAAACAAAAACAACATAAAAACTTGCAACAGCTGTGATGCTGAATGCTCAGATAACACCCATTGTGGTGGGATACTGCAACAGACAGAGCTCTGAGATAGAAATGTGAAATCTTTCCCACTTGCAAGATTTCCTTGGCCTCGATGTCCTTGCACAGTGGACCCTCCTCATCCTTGCCTCTGCTGCCAGCAGGTTTAGTGGCTGCAGCTGAGCATCCTGCAATGATACCTCACCTGTTAACTCCTTCTTCTGGTAACCATGGCTGTTGATCCTTCAGCTCTGCTCTCACCTGTGGCTCTCAGAAAGCTGCCAGCTATAACAGCCTCTTCTCTCCCTGCACTCAACTTACTTGATCTGGTGTCCCACACAGAACTGCCTCTTGTTCATGTGTGCACAATTCACCTCTCCCTAGACCTGTCCCAGGAATGTGTTAAAAAGCTTTCTTCCCATGGCTTAGCCCTGGTTTGTTTTTTTGGTTTTTTTGGGGTGTTTTTTTTTTTTTTTTTGGTTGGTTGGTTGGGGTTTTTTTAACAAATGTGCAATTAACAAACATTTGAGCAGCAAAGTGAACTAGCAAATCAAATATTTGTACCATCCATCACCTACAAAGTGTTCAGAACATATATAAGCTGATGAACTCCCTGGCAAATTCCTTTTCCTGTTTCTGCTTTAGTGGTATTAGTGATTACCTTTAAGATCATTGCAGTCATCACACTGTCAGGAGGGTTAGTGGTGCTGGTAGAATGGCAGGTAGAGGAAATTCTATTTCTGTGTTGTCACTGAAGGACAAATGTATTCGGACAGTAAATCTCTAAGAGGACAGACAGTACAAGGAATCATCAGAGGAATAAAATTTGTCACTTCACTAGAACTCCTGTAGGTCATGGTGGAGAGAAAACAGGGTATCCTCCCTACCATGTCCCTAATCAGTGCTTGGCAAAGCCTTACCAGAATATTGCTGGTGATTTATCTGGTTCACAGCACATCTGACTTTATTTTATTCCTTAAAGTTGAGGAATAAAATAAGAGAGTTGAGGTTGTTATGTTTGGATAAGAAATGGCTCTGAGGAGACTTTAGAGTACCTTCTAGTACCTAAAGGGAGAATGCAAGAAAAGAGGAGAGGTGCTTTTAACCAAGGTGTGTAGTGACAGGATGAAGAGGAATGGCCTCAAGCAAGAGTGCAGGTTTAGATTAGATATTAGGAGGAAATTCCTCACTGGAACAGGTTGCCCAGAGACATTGTGGATGTTCCACCCTTGGAAGTGTTTTCCACCCTTGGAAGCTGAATAGAGCTCTGAGCAACTTGGTCTAATGAATGACATCCCTGCCCATGGCAGTAGTGTTGTTTCATGTCTTTATAATAAAACTACTGCTTCAGGTGTGCTACATGAGCTGAAGCACTGTGACACCTTGCATGGAGAGGATAGCATGACCCTCTGGTAACATTTTCAACATTGATACCAAAAAATGCTCATAAAAAGCAGTTAATTACCTGTGGACCTTAACTGTTGCTTACAAAGACATTGATAATTATGGTAGCCCCAGCAGTGTCCTTGCATACAAAACAATTATTTAGCCCATTATATACTTAAAGCATCATGAAAACAAGTTAATGGTGTACAAAGGAGGAAAATGATTACTTTTGCTTATTTTGTAGCCAAAAGCTGGGTCTCTTGGATCGGGTTCGTGGTACCAATACTAAAGGAAAGCTATTTACCCCTCTGAATGTAGATGCCATTGAAGAAAGTCCTTCAAAAGAGCCTAAGAATGTTGTCTTGAATAATAAGGAGCGTTTTCGCACTGCATTCCGAATGAAAGCGTACGCTTTTTGGCAAAGCTCAGAAGGTAGCCCATCTGTGTTGATTTCTTTCTATGCATCCCCTGTTCTTCTCATTTTACTTTGTTCTTCTGCATATTCTGTTGAAGGTTTGTGACTTTCTGGGACAAGCATGTCTAGCACCTGGTTTTGTGTAGTACATTTGGGGAAGCCCAAGAAAAAGAGTCCTGGAGCCCAGGCAGCACGGTGCTTGAAATCAAACACCAGCCCTTCTCAAAACCAAAAATTGATATGGCATAAAGCCAGTGCTGGATTCAGCCTGTTTGGCCTGCAAAAAGTGGGCACACTGGGCAGTCAATCTGTATTCCCCAAAAAGCACACAGCAACACAGCTTGGTTTATGAGCAAGGACGCTAAGCTGAGATAGCTCCCTCCTGGACTACATCCAGCCCTGCAGCAGCCTGTGAGGGTATATCTCAAATATGCCCTCACTGCCATCTCATTAAACCTCCTTTAGAGAGTCAATGTCTTTTTCCCTCCTCCTCTCTCCCCAAGCCTGCTGCCCCTCAGAGGTTTCCATTGGGTCTCCATGAAACATTGTACGGCATTTTTCCTCTCAGCTTCCCTGAGCACACATTTCCCTCTTCTTGCCCATAACACCAAAATGGTCTTTAAATAACAGGTTCCCCTTTCTTGTGCCACCTGGCACCAGTGCATGCTGGACATTCTACCATGGGTGTAGCCTGGATGTCCCCACCAGGAACTTGATTTTCTCCTTCATGAAGGTACATGAGCTCCAGGCAGTGCCAGTGAGAGGAGAACTTGGCCTGTGGCTTGTACAACCTGTTTTAGCCTTTATGTAAAATAATTTGGGCAAAGATCTATTGGAAAGGAAGACAAGTTCCAAGTGTTTCAGAAATGCTGAAAGGAGATCCTTCAATAATGTGTCTTACAGATGTCCCAAAATAATTAAATCACTTTCAAGACCTGACCAATGAAAGAAGCTGTAAGAGATATTTCTTTATTAAATTGAACTTAATTTATGTAGTGCTTTATTCAGTCAGACACCCCTCTAAATATTGTGTGGTGAGATGTTCACACATCCGGTTTTTTGACCTCCTTTGCAGATGCAGGAACAGGAGAACCCATGGCAGAAGACAGAGGTGACAGTAGTGATTTCCCTATGGAAGATATGATCCCCACATTCAAGACAGCCATCCGAGCTGTCAGGTAAACGTCGTTTTGAAGGATGATAGGAAATAACATTACCATGTTGCTACGTGTGGATTCACTGTTTCTGTTATTACTTTTTTTAGATGCAATAGATGAGATAATTCTAGTGTTTTCAGAAACATGAGACAGACCCTATTCAGTCTGTTGAAAGTATGCAGAAAGGAGAAAGTTTTTAATAACATTTGCCATGTCATTTTGAGAAATACTCCACAGTGTTTTTATCATAAAATAATATTTTGTACTGTTCCTTGTTAAATGTTATATAAATATATCTTTCTCAATTTAGTGACTAATATTTGTATGAAACTAGAACTTTTGCTTAACCAAAAACTCCGAGCTGACTCAACTCTTTATACACAATTATATGAATGTGCAACCTACTTTTCAGCTGTCATATTTTAATACATGCTGAGGTCTCAATTTCAGCAGTTTTTGTCTTGTGACATGTGTCACCTCCATTTTCAAACCACAAGAGATATTCCCTAAAGTTAGAAAACTCCAAGTAAGCCTTGGTTATGTGTTTAGCACATCAAGCAAATAGAATTCATTCACTGATGCTCTGTTACTCCTCAATGCAGTACTTTGTACTCTCCTCCCTTGAAAAATGCCCCCATGGGAAAATACTCTGCTTTCATTGCAATTGCTGTTTATTCCAGAAGTTGTTGATTTTGGGGCCAGGGACTTGCCACCTTCCAGGTGAAATACTGCAAGTCTGAAGTGTCTCAGATTTATCTTAGAAGAACTTCAGGGAAGATGGTAATAAAAATATAACCATATATTTATATCTATATAACCATGGAATGTACTCCTGGTTCTTTTTGAATTGGGTGCAGGAGAATCACTTTGTAAAAAATTCCAAGTTTTCTAAAGGCTGCTGAAAGCCAATTGACACAGGCTTTGCTCATGTTACCCATGACTTCTGCCCTCCCACTGGAAGCTTCTTCATCCCTGTCCTCCACAGCTTTCCCCTTCTTACCCTGATACCTGCTTGTTTTCAAACATGTTATTGTTACTTTTGAAAAACTGCTTCCCCACATCCTGTCCAAATCTAATTGATTCATGCAATTTCCCTTTAAACTCAATCAGGAGTCAAGATTTTTTTTTCCTTGTGTAGTGTACCCAGATCCTGAACATTAATTGAGAGTAATTCTTTCAGACAAAGCCACTTAATGGATTTCAGGGTCATGATCAAGGAGATTTTAAATTAGGATTGCTAACATTGTGATCTCTATTTTTCCCTTAAGTCTTTGAATGTGTAGTTTTGCTGTTACCATACCTAATTTGGAAAAAATAGGCCCAGCTATAATTTTGAAACCTTGAAATATTTATAAGCAACAGAGTTAAAGACAGCCCTTAAAAAGTTGTAATAGAATTATCTTTGCTAAATGAAAGTTTATACAGACTTTAAAAACATTTAAAATCCCACCAACCTTAAATAAAAGACAAGTTCGAATCTTAACATATGACAGCAATTTCCCAGTTCAGACCAACAAGTACCTGGAGACTCTACTGAGAAAGCAAACATCCAGAACCCAAGTCTAAACCAGATGAAGATAAAGATTTCATTGTTTAAATGAAATGTTTAAATCCTTCTATTTGATTAATCTACACATATATATATATATATATACACACAGATATAAAAATAATGTATCAACAGAAAAGGGTGAAAAATGAATGCCAAATATTTTTCAAGTGCTCTGGCCAGCAGTGTTCCTTGTTATAAGAATTCTGTTACTAATCACTAGCTCATTTTGTAGCAATAGCAACAGTAAGAGCAATAATATTATTATCACTACAACAACAATAATGTGATACTGTTGTTTTTTTCAAGGACACTTCAGGCAGTTCTAAAAAGTTTTCCCCTCTTCACAACCTGAACTGCTGCTAACTTCTTAACTTCCACATCTATATCTAATTATCATTTCCTATCCAAAACTTTCCCAGGTGCAAAATTAAAACCAAGATGAAAATGATTCATCAGTGCATATACTATAAATTTGCTTTATAATAGACTGAAGAATAGAAGCAGCAGCTTCAGCTTCACAGCTTCAAAATCTCCTGTGACTTGTGTTGCTCAAATTCAAGCTCCAACTGTGATTCTGAAGCTTTAAACCATTTTTAAGACTATTAATTATGCAAAGCCAACTATTACAAATTTTCAAATTTAGTGTTTATGGTGTTATAGATTGTAGATGATGTTATAGATTCTTTGTTTATATTTTATTGCCTTGTTTAGTAATAACATGCTCAATTTACAAACAGACAGAATTCATCCATATTTTGAAAAAACTGGAGATTTTCATAATGGAATTTATATAAGAGATTAATATTTTTTTCTGTTTATTATGCAGAATACTACAGTTTCGTCTGTATAAAAAAAAATTCAAGGAGACTTTGAGGCCTTATGATGTAAAGGATGTGATAGAGCAATACTCAGCAGGGCATCTTGATATGCTTTCCAGAATAAAATACCTTCAGGCAAGGTAAGAATCTCCTGGTAAATGGGGGAAATGTATAGCTTTGGTGGCAAAATGAAAACATTGGCCTATCTGTGTACAAGGCCACCCAGAAGCCACACCTTTGCAGGATCTAGCTGGTCCATGAGAAAACCTTTTCCCAAAAGCAAAAGGCAAGAGAGAGCTAGCAGGGATAACTGCAGGCAGAGACCACTGGCTCAGATTTAGAACAAGGACATCGGAGTTTAAAAATCCTGTGAATTTTCTTCACTATTGCCTTATTTGATCAGGATCAAATTTCTCTCCTCTCCCCATTTTACAGATGATTAGTAAAAATAAAAGCTCTCCCTGAGCTTTTCTTTGGGCTGGATTCTCTGCTGATGTGTGCCTAGTGAAACATCCCATAAAAGTGCCAAAATACATCAGCACAGAAGGCTTCACTCAGGTGTAATTGACCCATCTGAAAAAAAGTTGGAATTTCAGGCCTCTGTGATTGTTCAGGTGCAATCTGCATTCACAGCTGTTTCCTCTCAGAAGGGGTTCATTGCAATGTGATTCTGAGGCACATCTACAGAAATTTGTGCTTCTCGTCCCCTGATCCATGAGCCCAGGTCAGAGCTTGGGGCTGGAAATTCGTGTGGGCCTGAGTGCACATGTGTGCAGATGTGTGTCCAGATGTGTGTCCAGATGTGTGTGCAGATGTGTGTGCAGATGTGGGGAGCTGTCCTTGCTCAGTCTCTGCACAGCACATTCCCTGAGGCCCTCAGTGACTCTGAAAATTAAAATACCACACAATCACCTTCATTTCTCTCCCAATAATGGGCTGAGAGAGTGCAACCCTTCCTGCACATTTGGGCCTTGTCTGGACTCACCTTGGCTTTGAAAGGCTGCTCTGATCTTTCTGCTGGATTTTGTAATTTCTTATTTCAAAGGGATTTTCCATGCACTGGGCAATCTCTTTTTCAAGTATTTAGCATGTCTGTCAGCAATGCCTGGGGATTCAAGCCAATATCTAGCTAGCTTTGTGAGGCTTGCCTGGAGCTTTTTCAAGTTCCATTTTCAGAACTCTATGGGGCACTGTGAAGCCATGCAAGGCATCTGCATGGATTGTCCAATAATACAGATAACTGGTCTGTGGACTAGTGCTGATTGATATGTGGCCATTTTGGGGGTGAACTGAATAAACAGAGACTAACTTGCACCTAAGCAGTTGGAAATGACAAATAAAAGAATATTTGATATAGTAAAAGAGTACAATTACATGCATTGGAGCACTCCAAACAATCTTTCTCCTTTTGTGCCAAATAAAAAATCGAGTAGACTCCTTATGCAACTTCATAAAGTTATGTTTTTAAAGCCAAAAGAATAATTAGTAAAGACTAAAATATTGCTGACAATTAAAAACAACAACTGACAGAATGTTATTGGTTTGTTAGGAATGTCAGCAATTCCACCTTTTGCCAAGTTCTGATTTTTGTTACCCTGCACAAAATCTGATGGGTCTCCTGACATTTTTAAGAGCAGCTGCTCTTGGATATTTTTTGAAAATCATGCTGTTTGGCTCCTCTGAAGGAAAAGAAGTTATGTTTCAAATGTTGAAGTTTGGAAACAGTGAGCTAGAGCATTACTTAATTATTATTAAATTACCAGGTAATTGCAATTCAGTGCATTGATTGTGACCCAAAAGAGAGCAGACACATCATGAGCATCAATATATTACCAAATCAACATGTGCTTCCTTTTTGAATCTTTGCTTCAGAGATGCACAGCATATTCTGTCATGTGTTAGCATTTGGAGATGGACTTACACAGTTGCACTTTTCTTTTTTTCAGAGTAGATATGATTTTTACACCTGGACCTCCATCTACTCCCAAGCATAAGAAATCCCAAAAGGGAGGAGCTTTTTCTTACCCTTCACAACAGTCTCCCAGGTGAATTCTTTTATATCTAGTATTCAGCACAGCCCAACACAGAAATAAAAAGTTAATTCATTCCAATAAGCATGATCTTTCTTCATCCACTGTTAAAGTAATGATACTGAGAGGATATGTTGCTATGAGATACATGTAGATAAACACTGAGCCAGAAAGTCACTCAGAGCAATGTGTGATGGAAATCTAAACAATGGCTTCTTAATTGTCCAGCTCAGCTTCTACCCAGTTTGAAAATATGGTTTTAAATTAAATGCATGCATTTGATTGCTGATGTGCTAATTTTCTAACATTTAACTTGTAAGCCCACTTAAAAGCTCAATAAAAACCACTAACAGTTTGAAAGTAAATTAGTTCTCTTCCCGAAGTGCCCACCAAATGGCAAGCAGAGATTTTTAATGCTGCAGCATTTAAATCAGTGATTGGTGAGAGATACACAAAACAAATTGAAATAACAGATTTCTGGGTAAAGATGCACCATATTATTGTATTGCTGCATTCCACATAGAAAAAATTCAATAATAAATGACATTTCTTCTGTTGTTTACAACTATCAATCTGTCAATAAATATCCATCAAGAACCACACAAGACCATCAACAATCTGTCCCCAAAGCTGTTGTGGTTGCTCAGAACAAAAGCAATCTTACAGAAAATAAATTATCCCACACAGAAAAAATTCCAAAACCACATAAATGTGAAGAAAGAGACCCAAGTACATGGAAGAGGCAGTGATCATTTGGGGAGGAAAGCAGATTGCAAAAACTGCATGAGCCCATATCACCAGTAACCCAATGTGGAAAATATGACATGTTTTAGGTATAGATTTTGCTCTAATACAATTTATTCACAGCTGTATTTTGGATTTTGTCAGAAAAGAGAAGAACTGGGCATGTCAAAAGTCTTAGAGTATATTTGTTCCAAAACATGTTAAAGAGCAAGTGCTCAGAAATTGTTTTTCTAGACTTAGGCATAGGTTATGGGAAGATATTGATTCCTTTGACATCAGTTTGGAAACTGTTTGATAAAGATTTAACTTGATCATGAGAATCCAAAATTCCATGAAGTTATAAATAAAACACCTTAGTTACAGATCATCTTCTTACCTAATGAATTTGGTCCATCTGATGGACAGGCAAGAGGAAATTGCATAGATAAAAACTTATTCTGGAATCAGCTTTAAATCTCCAGACCAGACTGTCTCTTTTCAGCATTTCCAATCTCTGACACTTACTATTTGATATAATGAAATTGAGCAAAAAAACATACTCATCCTTGAAGCTCAGATTCAGTCTCCAAAGACACTAATTATAATGAATTAGATTTAAAAACACATGGCCATCTGTAGACCCACTAACTGCACTGTCTCAATAATTTTCACAAACCTGAAATTATTCCAACAAGCTGGAGAATAATTTTAATTTTCTTTTGAACTTCTGGTGCTTTTTAATCTTTATTTTAAACTTGAAAAACAAAACATTAAAAAATTTAAAATCAAGATTATATTTTTTTATGAATGCATTGGTATCACATAGAATAGACTCTCACTCCTGTTTGTATAAACAGCAAAAAGGGCTCCAAGGATCAATATGAATAAATCAACAAGATGGCAATTCTGTTTTCTGATATAAATTGCTTATTGTGATGCAAAGAAATATTGAACACTAACAGAGTTATTAATTCTTGGCAGAAATGAACCATATGTAGCCAAAGCATCTACAGCTGATACTGAAGACCAAAGTATGATGGGAAAATTTGTTAAAGTTGAGAGGCAGGTAAGTAATTTCATGACAATGACAGAGGCTGAGGTGCTTGTTCAGAAATGATAGAGCTGATATGACTTGTGCATGACTGTGGCTGACCCAGGCAGAATTGTGCAGGTGGTGATGAAGACTCACAGAGATCTTGTTCCAATGATCACAAAATTCTGTTGCTAGTTTTTCATGAAAGAATTTGCTTACCTGAGAAGTGTGCCTTTTGAAACTTGTTGAATCCATGTCACTGTGTATGGCACAAGATCCTAACCATGATATTGAAGTGGGACTTTTTAATTCCTGTAGCTTCAGTACTCATCACATCTGGTGTTTGGCATGAGCAAGGCCTTTTCTTGCAGGGACTGGACTGAAAATGATTGTCCACCCTTGGGGCCTATGCAAAAGAGAAAGGAAACTAGTCCTGATATGTAACTCTGATGTTGTGGGACTGTTAGTGGCCATTAGGTCATAGGTTGGACTCAGTGATCTCAGAGGTCTTTTCCAACCTAGATGATTCTGTGATTATCAGTTAGAGATCAGGTCTGTATGCAAAGGTAATTCCACATACTGTGTTTTTGTAATAGCTATTTACCACTGGTATCAAGATTTTGTCATAACATTATAGTGTCCTCTTGGATACTGTACTGTTAAATATCCAGCAAGACTAATAATTTTTTTGGCACAGTTCATAGGGATGGGGCTTTTTATTCTGAGGTGTTAGAGGATCAGCTGCCATCCATTTCAGCCCGGCTTTGAGAAGATCACGGTTATTGTATGAACCTCCATGACCAATAAAAATGGCAGCACACCATGGAATCATAGTCTCTTTTTGAATAACTGACTTGAGGCAATATCATGACATTGGTATTTTTCAGGTAAATGACATGGGAAAGAAACTGGATTTTCTTGTTGATATGCATATGCATCACATGGAACAGCTGCAGATACAAGTTGCTGAGATAAGTCCATTGAAAGAAACCGCTTCTCCTGCAAGGGAGAAGAGAGAAGAAAACAAATATTCTGAATTAAAAACAATAATATATAAATACACTGAGCAGTGTTCTCGTGAAACTCCCTACAGCTTCCAGCAGGTTCCAGTCAACAAAGTCAGCCCCTATGGTTTCTCAGCACGGGGCCACACGGCTCACTCCCAACCTTCATCAATGGGTGGGCAAAACTCTGGCAGACTGCAAGCCACACCTTCCTCAACTTCATATGCAGAGAGGCCAACGGTTCTGCCTATATTCACATTAATGGACTCCCAGGTTAGCTACCACTCCCACGGAGACCTTCAAAGCCCTTACTCAGACAAGGTGTCCCCGAGGCAGCGGAGGAGCCTCACGAGAGACAGCGACACCCCACTGTCCCTTCTCTCCGTCAACCACGAGGAGCTGGAGCGCTCCCCGAGCGGCTTCAGCATCTCCCAGGAGAGGGACGACTTCCCCTTCGGGCCCAGCGGGGGCTCGGCGTGGATGAGGGAGAAACGCTACCTGGCCGAGGGGGAGACAGACACAGACACAGACCCCTTCACGCCGAGCGGCTCCATGCCCCTGTCCTCCACGGGAGATGGGATTTCAGACTCAATATGGACCCCGTCAAACAAGCCAGTTTAAAATGTGTGTGGGGGCAGTCACTGGCTGACTTCTCCTTGTAATGTAAGCATACTTTGTATATCTCACTTACTCTACACCCAAAGCTTACTAGTTCAAAACACCAATGGCTGCATAAGATGCATGTGATATTAGTGGTAGTCATTCTGCACCATTTCATACAATTTACTGATGCAGTTTTTTTCATGCTTCCAAAACTAATGAGCTTAGTTTTGAGCATGGTTTGCATGACTTTGCCCTATATAAATGGTACAGCTGATTTCTTCCATGATACATATCTATCTGGTACTCTTCAATACAACAATGGTGAATTGATAACAGACATGATACAGTGGTCCTTGCTACATTTTGTAAACAGAGCAGCAAAATAAAAAGATTTTTCAGGAACTATATCCCTTTGTGGAAACATAACGTCTAAATCATTTTCCGTTATAAGCAAATCAATCTCTAATCAACCAAGCCAATCAACCAAGCAAATCAATCTCTAATCAACCAAAAGCAGGGGAAAAGCTGAGTTAAACTATGACCTTATTGAAATGCTTTTGTGAACTAAATGTTTCTCATGTGATCTCATATAATTACTCCTGAAAAACAATATTGAAATGAAATTAAGGGTAGGATTTTAAATCATCCAAGTCACCTCCTGGGATTGATGATAGGTATTTATTTATTGTAAAATGTAAATAGAAATCCCTCAAAATACTTTGAAAACCTTCACTAGTGCTTATAAAATTGCTCAAAGTAGGATTATAATGCTTTTTTAAAGAAAATCTTTTGCTAGGTCTATTTGCTACTTATGGGGCCAAATTTTCCTTGTTACAAAAATAAAGTTGTTCACTGTAGAGAACTCCAGGTTTATACACTCCACTCTTCTATTGACTTAGGTGCTGCTAAGTAAGAAGCATAATGTAACTCAGCGTCAGTTTCCCAATCTGTTAATTGGGAGTTACACTTCCACACATGATCACAGGTTGAAAGGCTCAATTGTCTAATATTTGTCAAGTGCTTTGAGCTCCTCAGATGTGCAGAAAATTACTGTTCTCTTCCCTGCAAGTTCTACAGTGTAAGACGCTGCGAGGATCTGTTTCTCTCTGTTTACCTTTTCTCTTGGAAATGGAGTGCTCAAAATCCATGAATGTGTGCTATATTTAGGATTAATGTACGAATAAATAATCACCATTTTTGTCATGTGTCCCTGAGCAACAGAGAGATAAGTATGCTCCCTAGGCCTCAGCCAAATATTTTTTAATGAAAATTGGAAATTATTTAGAAGGAAGAGACCAGGAAAATCACTGGATCACTGGAAGGAAATGAATCCAAGATGTCACCACTACAGTGGGAATGTAGTACCTATAAAGCTAGTGAAACTAGCATTTCCAAATACTGGTGTCAGTCAATGTGTCCATGAAATAGCATCCATGGGATGTCCAGCTTGGTGGCTGTACACTCTGTACAGCTGGTGGGAAATGAAGGAGTACAGTGAGCACAGGGTACAGCAACAAAGGCACACATCAAATTCAGGATGAGATCAATCTCACCTTTAACTCAGTTATCTACAATGACCAAATGTCTACCAACTTCAAAGAGAGCAGAAGGTGACTTGCTTAGATGTCAGATGATCAGAGACCACACAATCAGTGTTAATTGTCTCACCAAGGTGCAGACTCTCTGCCGTGGCTCATCCCCACCTCATGTCCAGAGCAATCCCGGTCACTCCGCACAACAACTTCCCCACTGTGGCCAGGGCACTGACCAGCAGAGATGGCAGGATTTAGCCAAATAAGGTGTTAGAAAAAGGACTTTCTGTAGAGAGTGCTTCTATTACACTGCAGCTGCATAACTGAGCATCTTTGGCACATCCAGTCTGAGTCATGAACACATTACTGGGCTTCCCAGTACTTACTGGGAATTGCACAGCCCTGGATGGAAATGGACAATATTTTGTTGGGTTTTTCTGACCATAGTAAACTTTTGGTTTCATTCCTCAGCATTGTTGACATTTCATAGCAGTCATTCCATCCAGGGAATTCTGTTCTTTCCCAGATGTGGGCATTGCCTTCATCTTCATTGTTTGTTCTCTATTGGAAGAGACATCTAAAGGATTAGGATCTTCTTACTTCATCTGATTCTTCAGCTAAATCATGTTTCATCCTTCTGGGATGGATCTTGGAAGAACAAATTGCTGTTGTTACTGGATTAAACTGCAGAGCAGTTACAGCTTTTGAAGACTGGGCTGAGTCCATGGAGCTGTTCTGAAGCCAGTAACTATGATGGTATGAGGGTATGAGTATTTTGGAAATTACTTAATTGACAAAATAGCATTGACTTGAAAGATAATCTGTGTTTGGCACAGTTTTGTGGCTAAATTTACAAAGAATAAAATGAAATTACCAAAATGTAATTCGTTATAATTTGGCATATTGAGAATTCTTTGGCCCCTACAATTCTTGGAAATATCTGCATTGTACCTGTTGCAGGCTTTCTGAAATAGTAATAGATGTGGCAACTTTTGAGATTTAACCCTCACAAGACAAGAGAATGGAAAAGAATGAAAAAAATATTTTAACATTGCTACACTTCTGAAGTGTATGTAAGTACGTGTTGGACAAGCCTGCTTCAGTTTTCTTGTATATAAAGGGCCTGTTGTTCCTACTGATTTAATCTGAATTTCATCCTTCTTTAAATGCTTCCTAGAGCTAAACAATCAAAAGTCAAGGCAGCCAAAAAGCAGGGGCAGTCTGATCAATTTGTTTGTGACTTTCTTTGACAGTGGCTATGCCATGCAGTTCCCTGTCCAATTCCCACTGAAATTCTTTAGTTCAGGTTTCTGTTATTTTCCATGACAGGTCAAATAAAAGGAATCTTTTCTCAGTATTGAACCTGGTTGAAAATCCATGAACAGCCTCCTTATAAAGTTATGTTCTTTCCAAGAGAAGATCCAAGCAAGGGCAGAGACTTGGAAGAATTCAACTGCACACAGGGTACAGCCCCAGAGAAAGGATTTGTGCTGCCCTGCACTCTGCACACTTAGCAGATGAACTATCTTGAAGTTAGTGTTTTCTCTGGCCTGCAAACACAATATGCATCTTTAAGGTGTCAGGTCAGGTATTTGTAGCCACATCATGAAATATTTAATGATGCCAGAAAAGATCTGCCTCTTCTTAAAAAGCACTGGTGATAAACTCAGCAAGTCCTTCTGCAGTAGACATCTGTGGGTCCTGTGAAGGAGATCCAAGAAATGGGACAGACAGATCTGGTTGGCTTATTTTAATATTTATTTTTCTTTCTTAACACTGAAACCTGTCACTGCTCTGTTCATAAGGGTGCTGTTCTTAGCAGCTCTCTGCCATTTATATCATCAGGGTTAAAAATCAGTTCTGCTGTCTGTGATAACAACAGGTCTCACAGCAAGGTGAGATCTGGAGACCATCCCAGATCTGGGATTTGCACACAAATTCATCAGACTCCAATCAGGGTGAGTCCAGGGAGTGCATCCACCCTGGAACTGTGGTTCATGTGCCAGCCATAGGTACTGGACAAAGCAAAAAAACTCATGTGTGATCCCAGTAACATTAAGAATGTCAAGACCTCTCTCCACAAACAACGAATCTCTAGTCACAATTTCATTTGAGAAGGGCATCTGGGTCAATAATAGTCTTTGTAATTGGAGTTAATTAGATTTATACCTTCTTCTGCATGATGTTTCAGTTAAAGGGTTATGAATTCTCTTTGGGTCAGATCTTTCTAGCATCTTGACTGACACTAGCACTTTGTTTGCATGTACTCAACATTAAAAGGTATTAATGACTTTGATGGCTCTCATCTCATTTCAGGCCTTGAGATATTATTTTGTAATTTGTGGAGCTTTTCTCTGCTCTCCTTGAAGTAAGATAGAAACCTTCTCACAGTGATGCACTGGGAGAAGGGCTGGGTTCTAATCTGCCATTATTTATAGATTTTCTTGTGAAGGACAGCACTGATCTGGACACATTTTTCTTGGCTACATTTTGAGAGTGATTTTCAGTCCCTAAGAAATGCCAGATGTCTGGAAGTTTTCAAAAAGGTGAATCTGTGTTTACATTGTGTGCCTCTCTTTGCAGCATTATTATCAATTAAGCTTCCTCATTTTAGATGCAAACTGGGACTATTTGATTAAGGCAAAAGTGAATACTTTGTTGAGGTATGAAGGCATGATAAATGTGGTTCATGCTCTACTTAGAGAGTTGGCAATTTAAAAAAAATCTAGTCAGGTAATGGCTGTTGTCCTTGCCTTGGCTTTTCCCTGCCCTGAATTTATCACTCTGGCTCCTATCTAAATAGAAAGGAATTCAACCCATGGAGAGATTGATTAAAAAGTCCCTACATTGTCTTTTGGCTATATTTGCTCTGTTTTTATCTGTAACATTGCTGCATTATTATGGTCCAGAATGGAAATAGTTTAAATTTTTTCTGCTTCAAATGGTGGCCCATGAGTGCTGCAAACTAAAGCCCACCTGAACCTGGGGGTAGCGGGGCCTTGTGACCTTCAGGAGAGCACCAAGGTCCAACCAGTTTGCAAGATCACAGCCTAAAGCAATCAGAAAATGCAGAGTGAGGAGCACCCTCACCCCTGCTGGGCTCCCAGCTGCTGCAGAGGTGTCACATCTGCTTAGGCAGGAACTGAATCCCCCCTGGTTTCTGCAGAGCCTGTGAGGAAAGAGCTGGGTCTGGATTCCCTGCACCCCACAGCCCCACCACTGAGCTCTAGGTGTCTAAGGGCTGCAAACCTGAATTTCCTACAGCACCTCATGAATTTGGTGGGATGTCACGTTTTCAGGAGCACAGCTGGATCTGAGTGCTCCATTTGAAGATTATTTTAAGAGGTGCAGAGGAAAAAGGGGCATTTTCAAGCTGGGCACTCTGGGAATGAAGACCCTGGGTATCACTTTTCCTTCTGGTTTTTTAGGCTGTAAGATTTGATCCTTCCCAATTCAGCTTTGAGTAGCTTCCCTTTGAAGTTAACTGCAGCAAAATAGTGAATATGGGCTCCTATTTCCATCATAAAGAACACTGAGACTGAAGGCTACATAGCCAACTGCATTTTGTTTTCTAGTTATGGCATCTTATTATTACTAGTATTTGTGCCTTGCTCACTGAAATCTTCTCCATGCTACAAAGATGCTTTTCAGATTCTGGCTGACAAGGGAACACAACTTTTATACAAGTGGCCTTTAGTGCTCTTTATAATATTATTTATTGTAATTTTTAAACTGTATGTGTAATTTCTATTCTGGCACTGTCCAATATTTGAACAAATTTAATATGTTTATTTCAATATATTATGCAAACAATACTTCTTAACTGATTTTTTTATGTTCTGTCTTTAAAAACTGCACCACTTATTAATAAATAGAAATTTCAATTATGATGTGGATGGATTTATTTTCATTTAGATCTTGATATCTTCACACATATTCAAAGAAAACATTGTCAAATGTACCCCCAGCAGAGACATTGGCAAAGATCCTTTTGACTTCATCTGGGCAGGACTAAACTCTGCTGCAAGCTGCTTTTATGTGGCTTCCACAGCCAGCCCTGTCAGCACACAGGAGATCCCATTATTTGTGACACCTTTGATTTTGTGGCCATGTAATTTATATCATATATTATATATATGGGTTTGAGCATATGTGAAGGGGAAAATGAAAAGTGGGAGAAAATGCATTCATACTAGAAACATAACATGCTAAAATGTTATGAAATTGCAAACAAATATAGAGAGAACACAGTAATGGTAGAAGAATGATCAGAATATCCCCTGCAGGGAATTTGCTTGAGTTCTGCCCCTGGTTCTGTTGCTGCATTTCTGTGTGGTTCTGTGTCTGAATGAGACAGGAAGAGAAACACATGAAACATCAACACTTCCCAAAAATTTAGCTGGACACAGAGAGGTATTTTCAGGCATTCTCTGTGGCTTCAATTTCATGGCTGTCACTAAGGAATGAGCTCTGCTGAACACTGGAAATACAACCTAAAATAAGGTTTTTTAATTTTTTGTGGTAGATTA